CAAATGTCAGGAATTCTCACCAAAGAAGGATATCCCTCAAGGATATACATTGAACACCTCTTTGGGAAATTTTCCAATGGAAGACCTTTCAAAAAGTTCATTAAACATTCTGTTTTTGTACCGAGGTCATTCAGGACATCCTCCGAAACGTCCTCTGGAATGTGCGGAGGACGTCCACTGGAACGTCCATAAGACCTCCTTGGAACGTTCCTAGAACTTCCATAGGAGGTTGTCTGTAATGTTCATCGGATGTCCCTGACCGTACGAATTAATCTTGACTTTGAATTTATCTGAGTCTCCCTAGAACCAGATCTTGCATAACAGATGAGATCATCCAGGTGAGCTGATGGTCCGTAGAAGGTCCTCAATAGACCCTGAAGAAGGTTCCCAAGGATGTTTAATGGACTTGCGTAGAGGTCATTGACGTGGAGTATTCATGCCTAGGAGCAGTCGATCCAGTCAAAACCAGTATGGATTCAGGGAGAACTTTGGAACCACTGACGCGATTCTCAACCTCATTGATGCGATTTCGTAGTCTTTCGAGAGGAGAACATACTTCGACTGTGTATCTCACGAAATATTTTTCGAAAAGTTGCTCAGTTATGATTTTGGCTTTCACAGCATAATTTCATCAGAAAATAACCTCAAGAATCGTGAAGAATCCGTCTTACTCAATGAACATATATCAAAACGATTAGTAATCAGAAATGGAGTGCCACAAGGCTCTATTTAAGGGCCCGTGTTCTTCCTCATATACAATATATCAATGGCGATGCACAACTTGAGGTGTACATACTCTCTACGCGGATAGTACTATTATCTCTACAAGTGGAGACGAACTATAGAGAATCTCTTGATACAATGTGCAGATATACAGTCGAAGGCTGCCTCATGGTTTGCAACAAACAAACTGGCTCTGTACCAGAAAAATACGATAATGATGATATCATCAACAAAAGATCTGACTTGCCAGTCTGAAAATCGAAATTATGAAGTTCCAGGGAATATACATAGATTCAAAACAACTATGGGATGTCCAGAAGAATAACCTAACAACATCATTAACTAGAACTACATACAGAGTGGGCCATTGAAAACGAAACAGCGACTCTGTAGGTCGACAAAACGGGATTATGAAAAAAATCTGAAACACGTCAACTGAATTCTCGAGGAGGACATCGTTCTAAAATATTTTCAGCCCTGCGGCGTTGCCGCTTCTGACGAAAAGAAGCAACAACTTTGTTATTTCAAATGGAACACCTTGTATTTCATTGCATTTTTAGATTCTTCTGGAAGAGCTGATTTCATCAATGCATCACACTTGGGGTCTAGCTGGAATGATTACAGGGTGTTCAAAATCGGAATTTTTCAACTTTAGGATTGTTTTGTATCGAAACTATTCATTATTGGTCAAAACGGCTTTCATGTCCCTATCTCAACTTTTGATTTACTATCTACTGACATTTATGTGAAACAAATACAGGGTGGTTCAAGATTCAGACTTATGATCACCCTGTATCTGTTACAATTAAATGTCAGTAGATAGTAAATCAAAAGTTGAGATAGAGACACAAAAGCCGTTTTGACCAATAATGAATAGTTTCGACACAAAAAAATCCTAAAGTTGAAAAATTTCGATTTTGAACACCCTATATCCCTGTAATCATTCCAGCTAGATCCCAAGTGTGATGCATTGATGAAATCAGCTCTTCCGGAAGAATCTAAAAATGCAATGAAATACAAGGTGTTCCATTTGAAATAACAAAGTTGTTGCTTCTTTTCGTCAGAAGCGGCAACGCCACTGGGCTGAAAATATTTCAGAACGATGTCCCCCTCGAGAATTTAGTTGACGTGTTTCAGATTTTTTTCATAATCCCGTTTTTCCGACCTACAGAGCCGCTGTTTCGTTTTCAATGGCCCACTCTGTATAATATGCCCTAAGAAAACTTACATTCAAAACGTCTGAAACTAACCTACTAACAACATATTTTGCACTATTCCACTCCATGATATACGGAATACTCGCTTAGGGGCATGCGACAATTTGGCAAAAAGAGCACTTAGAATAGTGAAAGAAGTGGGATATCGTGATGATGTTGAGAATATCTTCATACAGCAGAAAATAGAAACCTTATCTTGTATTTATATCCTGGAATGTCTAACATTTGTGAAAAATAACCCTGATAGATTTACGTTACATAAAGAAAATAATGATGATAATATAAGATATGCAAAAAACCTCCAAAAAACAGTCATCCAAATTTAATACGCCTGAACAGATCGAAAACTGGAACCTCTCACTATGGTTTGTTGACCTACAATAACTTGAACGAAGATAGCAACGACTTGAGTAGGTATGCCTCGTTTCAGATCTTTACTAAAATCATCTTTACTGGAGAATGATTTTCAAAATATTCAAGATATTATTGATTCTATTGGAAATTTGAACATTTAATACTAGTTTTGTATAGTGTTCTGTTTGTTATATACTTTTATCTTTTTACAATATTTCGTGCGTTTAAATTCCTACAAAATGTCTTTTTGATGATGTAAGATTTCTTGTGAATTTTTGAACCGAATATATACTGGTACTTCTACTATATCTTCTGCGATATAACAGAAGATGTGAAGGTTATGCAACGATTAAGAGATAGGGCTCTCGTCTGGTTTACTGAGACACTTAGATTATTATAAGCAACTGCGCAATTTTACAACTTCAGCAATAAAATCAGAGAAGAAAGCATATTTGAACTACAAATTACAAAATAGTACAATGAAAGAAAAATGGTCAGAACTTAAAAAAATTCAAGCTACCAAGAGCAAAATCAACATTATTCCTGAACATCTTCGCAAGGCTGAAGAATTCAATGACTATCTTGCTAATGCATTACATAATAACATCTCTCCCAATGAAGAATTGAACAATTATTACTCTAATAATATAAAAACTGGAATAACTACTACATTTACTTTTAGTCCTGTCAGTGAAGAGGTTATTGCTGAAATTATACAGAATATCAAAACTAGAGCAACCGGTACTGATAACATAAATATAACTACCATTGAACTGTGTTGTCCTGTTCTGATTCCTGTTATTACTCATATAATGAATGAATGTATTGCAAAAAATATTTTCCCTCGCGCATGGAAAAGTGCAAAAGTTATTCCTTTACCTAAAATAAAGAATCCAGAAACCTACAACGATCTCCGATGTATCAGCGTATTACCCACGTTCTCGAAAATACTGGAAAAAATAATTGAATCTCAAATCAGAAATTTTTTAGATACTAATAATGTACTTCCGTTGAAACAGTCCGGGTTTAGAAAAGGCTATAGCTGCGCAACAGCTCTTTCTGATGTAGTCGATGATGTTCTCAGAGCTATGGATAGCAGAAACTTATGTGTTCTGGTGCTATTAGACTTCTCAAAAGCTTTTGACATGATTAATCATAAGATTTTGTTGTCGATGTTTCATTATTTTGGATTTAGTGCCCCTGCTTGCAGTTTTTTATCATCATATCTGAATAATAGAGTACAAAGTGTTCAAATGGATGATCAGATATCTCCCCTATCTCAAGTTTTATCTGGGGTACCGCAAGGTAGCATATTGGGCCCTTTATTTTATACACTGTATACTTCAAATTTCACTAATGTATTGCAGCATGTCAGCTATCATTTTTATGCCGATGACACTCAGGTATATTTTGCTTTCGAATATTCGAATATTAATAATGCTAACGATTTCATAAATTCAGATCTGCAGGCACTTCATACAATATCATCAGAACATATGCTCAAAATCAATCCTAGCAAATCTTGTGCACTGCTCTTCTGTGCTGATAGTAAACGAAACGATATCTCAGTACATTTAGATTTGAGAATTGGAAACTCTATCATCCCCTTAAAATCATTTTGTAAAAATTTAGGTTTGATAATTGACACTAAATTACATTTTACTGAACATATAACACAAAAACTTAAAAATGCTTATAGTACGCTGAAATTGATTTACTCACAAAGGTATTTTCTAAACTCAAAAACGAAAAAAATGCTCTGCGACGCACTGGTATTGTCGCACTTTAACCATTGTGATGCTGTTTATGGTCCTTGTTTGAAGTCCGCCGATTCAAGTAGGATTCAGAAAGTACAGAACTCCTGCATAAGATTAATTTATGGTATAAGAAAACGCGAAACTATTTCACACAAATTTAAAGAACTAGGGTGGCTGAACATGTACAATAGACGCCGTCTTCACATGGCATGTCTGTTTTTCAGTGTATACAAATTCAAAACCCCACCATATCTTCATACTAAACTTTCTTACAGAACTGAAATTCATAATATTAATATCCGTAGACTACTTTTACTTACAGTACCGAAACACAAAAAAGAAATATTTAAACGATCTTTCAGTTACAATATCTCAATTTTTATGAACAACTTGAATGCACAAGACAGCTCACTTCTGAATTTATCGATGAACACTTTCAAAACAAAGTATAAAAATATATTACTCCTTGCCCAGTCATGATGACTTTCTTATGTCTATACACGATCTCTACAGTTGCTCAATTATTATGATGTGATCATGTTGTGATACTTGTTCCAACCTACTATTTTATTTTATTTTTTCTCTTCTTTTCTGTTCTCTTCTTAATTTCTTTCTTTTCTGTTCTCTTCTTGATTTCTTTCTTTTCTCCACTTCCCCTATTCCTCTTGTCATCTTAAAAATTATCTTTATTTAAATATCGGCGCTGGTGGAAGAACAGACGTGAGAGATGACCTGCCGGTATTGTCTCTCATACTCTGAACCAGAATGGCCCTTTGTTCTCTGAATAAATTAAATATCAACGTAGAATGTAATCCTTATATATGTATCTATTTGGTGAACAATAAAAGTATTATTATTATTATTATTATTATTATTTGGATCGGGTTGGTGACCTGAAGTGAGATTCCAAAGAGCCTGATATCTGAACGCCTGTTTTGTTTTATTTCAGCATCTTCAAGCAACGAGAGTCATAACCCCTGCGTAGCCTGCTTCACTGTGTGCTACCTCTCACTGTTATTATCCACGGCATAATCCTATATCGAGTCGAGTCGGTGAAAATCCTTCCAGACAGCCAAAAAATCATCTGTGTGAGTAAAAAAATGTTCCCTGCTTCGAACATTCTATTTAGGTATCTACGTTCAGGATTTTTGTAAACGGTTCATAACGAAATATAAAATTATATCCAATATTGGGAACATGACAATGTGCTGTATAATCAATGATATTGTAGAAATGAATGACTGAAATCCAACTTCAATAAAATAGGTATCTCCCATTCATTAATAATTCTGATTCGAAAAATTTACGATAGTCGGAATGGGGAAGACCACTGAGAGAAGAAATCCGTGCAAACCTCTTTCAATCGACGAATCATGATTTACGTTTGATGTACAATCAATATCATGAGTTAAAGTTGAAGGGAATCGAATCTATATCGTTTTGAAATCCGCATATTTCATTCGATACTTCAAACAGCCAAATGATGATGGAGTCGTGACGTATTAGTCCCGAACTGTAGCTATCTCCCTCTGATACATCGTCATTCTGCAGTGTTGCAGCGTGATTGGTCATTTCAAGGGCAATAGGCGTGTTGGGAATAAGACGTCGCACCAGTCACACCAATGAATTGACAAAATTTCAAATGGCGCAGGAATTGTGTGTTTTGAAATGGACATAGTCTAATTTATTTTTTCCATCGTCTTAGCATGAATGACAAAATTGAAAATTAATTCGCTGGTAGTTTTTCAGTATAGAGTTCACGATAATGTCATTTTGAAAAATCAGTGGTCTCCCCCATTATCAATCACATAAACATTCTAAGTCCTTTTTATATTAGGGCTGTTTTTATTTCGTCGTTGAGTGCCATTCATGGTCAATTTGAAATGATTTTTTGAACTTGCAAATTTGTTCTGAAAATGATATTGTCGAATATGAACTGATTAACTGATGCATCGTGCATACAGTTCCCGAAACGCTCCAGTACGTTCACTCGTCCCGAAAGGATTAACCTCACTTTAGGATTACTCATATTCAAAACCTATATTTCGATAATGCTGCATTTCACCGTAATCCTAATGCATTTGCCAGAACATGGTTTTTCGTTGGATTTCATAGTTTTCATTAGCATGTGAATTTATTGTTCAGATTAATCTACTATCAGAGAGCGGTATAAAATGAAATTTATTGAATAATGGTGGAAACTGGTAACATACAGGATATCATCAAATCAGTTACCAAGATACTTCAAAATCGCTATTAATCAATAAGTTGATGACATACTTTTTCCTTATTATTTTCAGAATGAACTGGGCGTCAATTGAAACGTTAATAGTGAAATTTTGCATCAAGTTTGACTTCTCGTAATTTCTTAAATATTGAACGAATTCTGAATTGCCGCCCAGATTCTGAATGCTTTTTTCATCGTCTTTCGAACCGTTCCTTACAGCTTCTTCTGAATTGATCAGGACCCGTGATACAGGGTGAAACAAAGTTTCGTGCATTTTGAGAAAAATTTCTCCGCCCCCCCATTTTGTCGGAAGACCACGATGCTCATATTTTATTCGGGCATTTCATAAATAGCAACCATACCTCGGGACATTTTCGAGTTTTTGCCAAAAACTACTGTGGTTTCCGAAAATAAAATTATTTTTGTATTTTTTTTAAATGGACTAATTTTACAGGAGTTCCATAAATGGATGCTTTTATGCATTTCAGGAAAGCGTTGGAGCAGATATGTATACCAGGTTACTCAAAAAGGACCCGTGATACAGGGTGTAACAAAGTTTCGTGCATTTTGAGAAAAATTTCTCCGCCCTCCCATTTTGTCGGAAGACCACGATGCTTATATTTTATTCGGGCATTTCATAAATAGCAACCATACCTCGGGACGTTTTGAGTTTTTGCCAAAAACTACTGTGGTTTCCGAAAAAAAAAATAGATTTGTATTTTTTTTAAATGGACTAATTTTACAGGAGTTCCATAAATGGAGGCTTTTATGCATTTCAGGAAAGCGTTGGAGCAGGGATGTATACCAGGTTACTCAAAAACAATCAATAATTTATTACTTCGCAGTCTATGATAAAAGTGTTCTATCTTAGTGAGCAGTAAATCAACACATCTCATCAACAAAAACAAACAACGATACCTTGTTTCTATAGCAACGTATTGTTGAATATGTAGGTATGCATAGAGGTTATATGAATTTCCAATTTTCATGAAAACGTCAGTGTAATTCGGGTCCTAAAAAATTTAAAGATGCCTCGTTCAAATCGGGTCGAAATGGGAAATATCATTAGTTAAGATCACTATAGTCATATAAACTATAATTCAGTACAGATAATTATTATTTCAGGTTACGACGATTAGGATTTACCCAAACACATTTAAGTACCATTTTCAATAAGTCAGTCATGACAATAAATAGACTGATTAATCGTTTTGACGATACAGGTGATGTACTCCTCTGAAATTAGTCCATTTAAAAATAATGCAAAAAAATATTTTTTTGGGAAACCGCAGTAGTTTTTGGCAAAAACTCGAAAACATCCCGAGGTATGGTTGCTATTTATGAAATGCCTGAATAAAATATGAGCATCGTGGTCTTCCGACAAAATGCAGGGGCGAAGAAATTTTTTTCAAAATGCACGAAACTTTGTTTCACCCTGTATCATGGGTCCTGATCAATTTAGAAGAAGCTGTTAGGAACGGTTCGAAAGACGATGAAAAAGGCATTCAGAATCTGGGCGGCAATTCAAAATTCGTTCAATATTTTAGAAATTACGGGAAGTCAAACTTGATGCCAAATTTCACTATTAACGTTTCAATTGACGCCCAGTTTATTTCCGATATATAGAGGATGAATAAGTTTATCCACCACTAGCTATAGAACCTACCTTTATTTCCTCCTTCTCAAGGCGTGAAGTGTGTTTTTACTATCAAGGTAGATTTCGTCATTTTATGAACTACTAGTCAAGAGGTAGCAACCTGTTAAAGTCATCCCGAATTCACTGTTCTGACGCCAGATACACAAGAATGGCACTCGAATCTAGTAGATATTTATCAATAACGACTCATATGCTGTCTTTGTCATTGCTATTAGATTTCAATCAGAATTGAAATAACGACTTGTCATTTGCGATTCAAAGCAAGGTTGAAAATAATTTTTTCTACAAGCGTGCGTGATTCACCCTATACCCGCACGCAATTTAGTTTGGGAAGTGTCATTTTCCCGCAACAGTACGGGAAAATTTTCCCACACTAGTGCGGGAAATTTTTTCCCGAACTAGTGCGGGAAAACAAAAATATGATATAATCGCTAGTAATATAAGTGGTTGGTGATGGAATATGAAAGTTTAAGATTGTTTGTTGCAGTTGTATGTTCAGAATCATCCATCAAACTGCACTATTTATTGTAAAAATTAAGAAATATTGAGAAATAAAAATGGATTATTATAAAAATCCCCCTATAGATTTGGACTGATCTGACGGGAAACGTCAATTTGTCATGCCAATCAAACCTCAAATAAGTTTGAAATTGTCGGAGTGACAGACACAGCGTTACTGTCATTTTTGATTCAGTGGAAATGCCACAATGTGATCAAAAACTTCTAGCTATAGGGATTTGATACAGATGCGTTAATATCACCAAGGAAGTCTTGAGAAAGGTATGAGAAGCTATACACGCGTTTAATTGAATGGTGCAACAATAAAGAAATGAAAAAACCGAATGAAGAATAGGTATTTTTGGCTCATTCCATAGAAGTGTCTGGAACCTAGAGACCAAACTCCTAATGGGCCTGCTGGCTTCCGCAATGAACCAACATAATGCGTCAAACTGTAAGTTCACAATAGCTATTACTAATAATTAATAGATAGAGAATATAATATATCTCTTGTTAGTTGTTCCTATTTGCTTGAATAATTAATTGAACGATTCAATCAATTTCCTACGCTTGTAGAAAAAATATTGTTCCTAACTCATGCGGAAAGTGTCTTTCCCGCACTCGACTGCTTGCCCGAACTCCGCTTCGCGTCGTTCGTGTCAACGGCAGTCACGTGCGGGAAAGAATCACTTTCCGCACTTGTTAGGAAAATTACTATTGCATGAGAATGTTTATTATCATTTAGACGAATACTTCTCTCACAATTTAGAATTAGATATCACATGAAATTTACTATTTATGTACCGTGCTCGACTTTCTCGATGCTTTACGCTAGATAATCGGAAATAACTTTTGTTAAATTATAATGTAATATTGATACCACTGTTCTTCCGATTCTGAGAAATAAATATATCTATCTATCTATCATACGCTGTCATTGTCATGGCTATTAGATTTTAATCAGAATTGGAAATGGGTGCTTTCATAGTGACAATAGGTTCATATTTCAGTTCCACAAAACAATAAGGATTGGGATATATCGCTAGTTGTTGAAAAGAATCAATAATACACCTTGGTAGTGAAGAATATCCACGGGGCCTTATTTATACCCTTCGGCTGAAGCATCGGAATCTAGTCTTGGTTCCTGGGTAATATTGATATTCTTTACTACCTAGGTATGTACATAATCATTGTCGTTCTAGATGACAACCTAGTTAGGTAGTTAGTAGGCAGGAGCTATCCTCCTCGCACTAGGTCGCCTACTAGGTTTTCATTCAGATCGACAATGACATAACTAATATGAGATGATGGGTATAAGTATCGATTACATACAGTATGGTGGAAATGTATGGAATTTTTTGCTTATTGTTTATTGAAAAACTAGCTTCCAGTCAGAAATAAAATTCTGGTATGAGGAAATTGTTTACAAACAACAATAATAAAATAATATAAGGTGACAACAACAACAATAAAAATCTAAAAAATCTAAAAATGCTAAATCGATCAAGTCATAAATTCATTATCTCTAAAGCATATGAATTTGAAAAAAAATCCTGAGACAAGTCGATTTTTATTTTCAAATTGACACCTCTTGATGTACAAACGGAGTTTGTAACGTGATTCGCGTAGTTGTGATGACGTCATCGATAATTTTTTTAAATGGAAACATCCGCTTTTCATTTATTTTTTCGAAAGGTATATTCATTGTCTATCCAACCATGAACTGATATTAGCAAAATAAAGTATTACAGGGTGAGACCAAATTATTAATTATTTCATAACTACAGGGGAAACAATTACAATAAATGAAAAATTCGACCTGTATACATTAGAAACAATTTATATCGTCTATCACATTGTAAAATTGCAGAAGGTAACCAATTCGAACATTTATTGGAATGGTGGCCGTTGTAAATATAAAATAATTAATAATTTTTCCTCACCCTGTATCACTTTATTTTGCTAATATCAGTATATGGTTGGATAGACAATGAATATACCTTCCAAAAAAATAATGAAAAGGGGATGTTTCCATTCAAAAAAATAATTGATGACGTCACCACAACTACGCGGATGACGTTACAAACTCCGTATGTACCATCAGGTGATTCAATAAGGGTGATGAGGTTATGTATCTCAGGAACTCATATAGTTGATGAAACAGGCCCCTTTGCAAAGGCTATAACAACCAGAGTGGCATAGAAAGTTTTTTATGTTATTCACCAAACCTTCGTTTCTTGAAGACCTTGTTAGCAAAGTTATTAGTTCCTGAGATACAGTAACTTGTTACCCTTATTGAATCACATGGTACATCAAGAGGTGTCAATTTGGAAATAATAATCGACCTGTCTCAGGATTTTTTTCAAATCCATATTCGTTAGAGATAATGAATTTATTCCATACTTTTTCAGCATACTGTA